ACGGAGTGACAAGAATGCTGGCTTTCAGTGCCATGTGCCTCCATGCAGCCAAAACCTTGCCAATCTCCATTATTGGACAGTGTCCATACAGCCACTGAGAGCTTGGGTACAATGACTATCTGGATTTCATGTACCTTCTCACAATGCAAACGGAACCAAAACACAGAAGGATAAACAGTTGGTTGGCAGAAAATCAAATGGTTGTGCTCACAAAAGAAAGGGATTTAGTTTGAATATGAACTGTCTGACCGAGCATTTCGAATACTGTATGTTAGGAAAAGGGACCAGAAGTCCTCATGGAACTGAACCAAAGAAGATGCAGGCAGCTCCACCTGGGAACTGATGTGAAAAGAAAGACTTACTCAAGCTGTGCACAAATGGAAGTATCCAGCACAGTCAGAGTGCATGCAGTTCTTGCTGTATACAATTTGTCTTGCTACATTTGATATTCCCAGTGTTATGTAACTTGTTTTAATTGGGGAAACGGCCAAACAATCAGTTATTTGGAAATCAATGCTTTAACAAACATAATAGCACATTAGGTATGTCAAACCAGAGACACTTAACCATAATGAGGCAGCAAGTAAACTTGTTCTAATTAATGTTATTGACCGATTTTCAATGGTGATGTCCAAACGAAGCTTCATGAAGCACCAGTTGTATTTGCTGAACCCACTAGATGACGCTCTTGGTGTAATGAAAAAGGTTCAAGGGATGGCAATGCAGTTTGGTTTCAACCCTTTGTTGAACAAAGAGTGCCAGAGTGGACCCAAAAAATAAAGACAATGGCTCATGAAGCTTCATTTGGCCATTGCTAGTTGAAACCAAACTGCACTGCCATCCCTTGAGCCTTTTTCATTACACCAAGAGCACCATCTAGTGGGTTCAGCAAATACAACTGGTGGTTCATGAAGCTTCATTTGGACATCACTAATTTTCAGAAGCTGTTCACTTTCTTTGCCCTGTCCAAACTTCTCTCAGCAGATATCGTCTCAGACAGCAGACCTATATTAGTCTCACAGGTCTGGAAGGCATTTTGTTCTGCCTTGGGATGTCACAACTTCTGAGGGAGTGTGCCATTGGCATGCTGACTTCAGGAATGTCCACCAGAGCTGTTGCCTGTAAACTGAATGTTAATTTCACTACCATAAGCTGTCTCCAATGCCGTCACCCGGAATTCAGCAGTACATCCAACCAGCCTTACAACTGTACAAGTTGGTTACTATGACAAACTGCCGTCAGATCAAGACCCTGGTGAGGATGATGAGCATGCAGGCGAGCTTGCCTGAAATGGTTTCTGATATCCATCCATCCATTTTCGTGACCGCTTATCCTCTTAAGGGTCGTGTGGGGGGGGGGGGGTTGGAGCCTATCCCAGCTGACATTGGGCTAGAGGCAGGGTACACCCTGGACAGGGTTTCTGACACTGTCCAAAAATTCTTTATCCTTGCAAACCAATTATTGCGTCAAATGTCTGGGTGACTGGTCTGAAATGATCTTGCAGGTAAAGACACTGGATGTAGAGTTCCTGAGCTGGTGTGGCTCTGTATGGTCTGCGATGTAAGACTGGTTGGATGTACTGCCAAATCAGGGAAACAGCATTGGAGACCGCTTATGGTAGTTGTGACTGCATCAAACTGCACATTTGAGAGCTGTCATTATTGTGACCATCCCAAAGTACACTTGTGTAGTAATGAAGCTGTCCTCCATGGTACGCCCACAGATACTGTCTCAGACAGCAGACGTCAGTTCATCTCACAGGTCTCGAAAGACTTTTGTTCTGTCCTTGGAGCCACCACCAGCCTTTTCTCAAGGCACCATACCCAGATTAACAGCCAGACAGAGGGAGTCAATCAGGGGATGGAACCATCGCTCCACCTAATCCATCCTTCTGGAGAACCCTGCTTCACGAGGTGGAATATGTGCATCACACCTTGCCCCAGGCATTCTCTGATATGTCGCCTTTCCTTCATCTCTTGGTTAACAACTTTCCTTATTGCCTATACCTCTATCCAAGCTCACATGTGCTGCTGTTTCAAGGTGTGAAAACAAACCAGGATTGCTCCAAAACCCGGCAAACTTCTGCACCCCAGCTCCTAGTTCCACCCATGGCCAACAGTTACGCCTCAGTTCCAGAGATCTCTCTGTTAAAGTAGAATCCAAGAGGTTGTCCAACAGCTTTGTCGGTTGCTTCAAGATCTGTCATGTTATAGCAGGAAGAACCTCGTACAACTGCATTTCTAGGCATGATCCTTTTTTTAACATCTCTGTTTCTGTGACTGTTCTCAGTAATTACATCTACCATGCTCTTTATGTAGAACCATGTGATTACGCTTGAAGCCTAAGCTGTGATGCCTCAGCTTCCCCACATCACTGAAAACTGTCTTTCGAGTGCCTCAAGGTCCAGATGAGGTCACTTTGACTGTTTCTGTATTGTTGTGATATGAGAGAGGGCAGAGGAGCTGCGTGGGGAACATTAATCAACATTACACAAGGTTGCCAAGCGAAGGCCTTACTGTTTTCAAAAATCCTTGGTTTGACCATTTGTTTTTCATATGTGGACCTTAAGGGCATGTCTGTCAAGTAAATTTACAGACACACAACACAGCAGCAAGGCACACACACATTCAGGCCAGAGATATTGGAAGTAGGGACATGGGGGATGGGACAGTCCAATCAGCAGCTTCCCTTTACTGCACCAAACCTTTTTGTTTTTTGGAAAAAGAATGTGTTCGTAAATTTGTCTTACTTTAACTTCTGTCTTTTATATTTCCCTACAGCTTAAAGAATATAAGCTTTCATAGCCTAGTGATGGGAGTGTCAGAAATGATAAACCAATCTCTTCATGTGCAAATATATGCAGTCTGACATAGTCACGTAGTGTCAGTGGGTGGTAAATGGGTTGAAAAAAAGGCCCTTTATAGGATTGTCCAATGGGTTTCCTATTGGCCTCATCCCAATTGCCAACACAGGTGGGTTTACCCAAGTGGGCCCCACATGAGTTATGCTTAGGCTACCTGGGTTCCAAGTGGGTATGGGCCAAAATCAGCATCTTACCCGGGGCCCACGTGGGTTTACCTTCCCATGTGGGCAGCTGACCCTTCCTGCCCCCGGATGCAAACTGAGCAATCATAGCGTAGCATTAGATTAGCTCAGACCAGCATCCGACAACAACATGGCTGTGCTCCATTGACTCTAATGCAATCATTTCAGATTCCCTTCATTGCAGCCTCACTTCGCCTCATCAGCCACCACCACCTCCATCAGACTCCATGGGTTGATTTACCTTGCTGCCACTCGGATGTCCATGTATAAAAAAAGACATCTGTGAAATCTTAATCAGCACAAATCACCTGTTCTGCCATTCAGGCATTTCCTTCTTTTTTGGCGCCCTCTTTGGCAGTTTATTGAGTTGCGCAGACTTCCCAACAGGAAGTGCTACCAACAGGAAGTCCTACCCACAGGAAGTTATTAAGCCTCTGTCGGCCTCAGGCCTCAGTATCAAACCATTCCAGCCATCAGAGGGTTGTCTACTGCGATCTTTTGTTTTGCCTCGGAAAGCATTGACTGTAAGCTTGAATCCCTTTGCCACCATCTCAGCAAGTATTTGTGAGACCTTTTTGAGTTCATAGTTGGAGGAAGTGGACTTCGAATTTGTTTGTAACCATGTGTTTAATTCAGCCATGTTGATTTGTCACTGTTAAACATTTAGCCCTCATGCTGTGAACCACTTAATATATATATTGTGAATATAATCTCCTGTGGTATCTCTTAGTTTTCTTTTTGGTTTATTCTCTAAATTGTCTTAACTATGATTTTGCCATGCTAACAGCGATAATGCTAACGATGCTAATGTGAACAGTGCTAATGCTTATGATGCTAATGCTAACAGTGCTAATGCTAACAGTGCTAATGCTTATGATGCTAATGCTAACAGTGTTAATGCTAAAGATGCTAATATTTACACTGTTCATGTTAACCAAGCTAATGCTAGCAGTTGTCATGCTAATTATGCTAATGCTAATTATGCTAAGCTAACCATGCCTGTGCAGATGAGCCCTTTTTGTAGACCTTTCAGTAATTACAATATATTTTTTGTTATTTCAGTTTCACTCCGTGTTCACAAAGTTGAGTCGGCAATAATTAAAGGCGCTTGAATGCTACATCCTGACTCTGATGTCTCTGTGAATTGGAGCTACGCCTCAAGGAGGACAGTATAGCACTGGTGTGACAATGGGATCATGAGGTGCTGTCCTGTTCCTGCTTCTAAATTTCCCAGGTCCCAATCTGCTCAAGGATTCTTGTGATGTACCGGCACCCCAGATGTACGTCTAATCCAAGGTGGGGACTCTTTGGATTGGACTTGACCCTTGACACAGGATCTCTGGGAGTGTCCTGCTGTGTCCGGCACCAGTGCGTTGGCGGCAGATCCATTTAGTTCAGTAGGTTGTGAGGTGGGTTAATGGCACGTGCCACAGATGCTCATTCAGATTGAGATCTGGGGAATTCGGAGACCAGGTTGACACTTTGAGGTCTTTGTCACATTCCTTGCGTCATTCCTGAGCAATGTTTGCAGTGTGGCATGGTGCATTATCCTGCTGGGGGGCCACTGCCACTGGGGAGTACTTGAGTGGGTGGAGCATGTCAGGTGGTATCCACATGAATGCCAGAACCAAAGGTTTCCCAGCAGAACAGTCAAAATTATTCAATTCACCTGTCACTGGTTTGAATGTTTCGGCTGATTGGTGTATATGAAACTGCCCACTTTGAGTGGTGAATTAATGTTTGTCATGCTATAACTGTAAATTTAGAATAGTGTGAAGAAATGTTTAATACCCTCAACAGAGATTAAGTTACTGAGGATTGGCTGAGGAAAATGACATCACAAGTCTCTCCCTCTCTCTCTCTCTCTCTCTCGCTCTGAATGAACGAACGCGCTCCGGTGCGCGGAAAAACCATGCGGGAGAGGCTGAGCGAACAGATTCCTGTTTTCTGGAGAATTAATGACTGATTACGAATTCTAAGTGATTGCTTGATGATGTTTGGTTATTACAGATTGTTATGACGACACAGCTGTTTGATACCGCATCTGCCCTCAGAGAGGAAAAACTGCAACATCCTACAAATTGATATCATAACAGAAAAGGATCAACAATAGAGAGTAAACTCTGGTTCTCCAGTACATAACGGAAAGGTAGAGGAGAAGGGGAAATAAAGATATAAAGGGATACATATATTAAAGCAGGACTACTGGAGTGATTTTTGTTTTTGCGCGACAGCTGGTGGGAAACTTGGAGAGAGGAAAGTGGAGAGGAGAAGCGGAGACAGAGCTCAGGTCGGCAGCTGTTGGTGCTTCGCCATGCAACATGAGTAACGACAGTAACGGAGTTGGGGGGCTTCAGCCTCCCTGGAACTTCAATGGTAAGTGAAAGACTTGATGTATTTTATACACGCGCGCAGCTGTTAGTGAAGGCTTTCACCCGAATGTTAAATAAAGGACATTAGGTAAAAATATAACCCCAGATTACAGGCGTTAAAATGTGTGCGTTTTGTGGCACTGTAATGTAAATATTATGAGATATATATAATCATGTGATTGTCAGTGGGATTTATGGTATCCAAAAAGGTGCGTAAAGTGAGTTTGATTGGGCATCTCAGCCCTGACTTTGGTAAAGTGAAGCATCAAAAGGTACAATAATAATAATAATAATAATAATAATAATAATGTAAATTAAAAATAAACAAAATAATAAATAAAATAAAATAATAAATATATACATAACTAAATAAATATTTATAAATAAAAACAAGCAAAACAACATGAGGCAAATTGTTTTATTTTATGGCAGGAACATTAGAAAACAGTGTATTATTATAGTTGCCCAAATAATTAAACGAGGACTGCAATTTATTTATTCTATTCTTAATACTGTCTTAACATAATGACAGTGATATTTTTCCACCTTTCTGACCAGTATTTACCAAAAAAAAAATCTCTTGGAGCATGATCGCATGATCAATTCTTTTTTTAAATCCAAACAATGACAGCAGCAGCTTTCCCTCAGGGCAGAGGAGGCAAAAAAAAAACAACTGAAGATGAGGAGAAAGGGGCGTAGGAAGACAGGAGGTGGTGAAGGAGGAGATAACAAAAACAGTGAGAAGACGAAGAGAATCAGGTTTTCAGAGATTAAAAAGCCTGAGAAAAAAACTAAACTCCTCCTCTCCTCCTCCTTTCCCCACTCTCCACTCTGCTCCTCTCTTTTACCGTTTTCATCTCCTCTTCTTCTCCTCACCTCATCGTCTTCCTCCTCTTTACATGTCTTTTACTGGAATATGAGAGTGAGAGAAGAATACGATAGCATTATTGTCCATACTGTAAAAATTAACTACACAACATATAAATGTATATGAAAGTCTAAATCTTGCATCTGCCCTTGTGGGAGACACAGACCTAAAAGAACAGATACTGAGGGACATTTGAGGGAGGAGAAAACAAATCTGAGACATGTAGTTTATAAACCATTAGACGACGCTCAATGACCAGACAGTGACTGACTCAGGATGTTCTTTTTTTTTTTTTGCTGTAGCTGCTACTTAAGTTGTTTTGGTGCTCAGTTCCAGTGCTGGATCTAGCACATTCAGCGCCCTGGGCAAGCTTCCCTTGGTGCCCCCCCCCCCCCCCCCCCACCCCCAATAAAAAATATTAATTTAAGACACTATTACTGCCTTTTAAATGCACTTTATTTTTTACTAAGAAGAGCCAATAAGCTAATGACAAGTCAATATTAATAAACAATTTACATTTACTTCATTCTTTTTACAGCATATATTTAAGACTTCCGTGTTTCACGTCATCACATTGTTTGTGTGCAATGACGTCATTACGTTTTGCTACAAGCAGTCCGAAAGGCGGTGAAAATGTACGCCGACGACACAGTATTGTTCCGTCATGGCGGTGGGAGATTGTTGTTTACATGATGCTGTTGAAAACTGATCTTCAAAAGAATTATTATGGTTAGAGAGTTATTTTGTGTTGTCTGTCTACGATGATATCATTAGGTTACGCTACAAATGTCCCAAAACATGGTAAAAACGTGCGTTTGTGCCAAAGGAGCCGAGAAGCAGGTGAATAGGAATGTTGTATTTTTTTATAACATAAATTCAGCACTTTTATGATTTTTTCTGTTTTTATTGACTTACATGATCTTTTAGTTTTGAGGTTGTACAGATTTTAGGGAGATGAAATATCAAAAAATATCAATGTAGGCACTGGGGAAATATTTCTACTGCAGATGAAACTATCAAAATGGCTTTGCACTCTGATCATAAAAATGAGCATATCTCAACAACTAAAAAATGTTCGTATTTCATATAACTTACGCAGTGTTAAGAAATATTTTGATCATGTTTCTATATTTAGAAATCTTTCATATCAATATATTTTGTTTATTTTTTTCAAATCTGATGAAAAACATGTCCAATTTCTGTATTTTCTTTAAATTTATGACATAATTTCAATACTGGGATCAATTTTTATGGTTTATTGACTTACGTAAGCTTTTAGATTAGATCGTACAGATTTTAGGGATATGAAGCATTTAAAGATACTCCAAGAAATGGCGTCACAATAAGCAAAACTACCAACATATGCACTGGCGGAAGGGTTAACCTGCTTTGGATTGCACCTGAGGCAGCACATATGTCGCCTACAGGAACATCCACCACTGCTCTGTTCTAAACTGCATGATACTAACTCATTTACACAGTGTATGCAGATGCAAACTTTTAGACAAACCCTGTGATGTAGTGCAGTCTGATAGAGAACAACAGCACAAAAACAACTGCTCCAAAACTCACGAAAACCTCGATGACACCTCGATGTCGACAGCAGTTAAAAGTTTAACAGATGTGATACTGAATGACTGCTATATAAGAATATATTTAATTGAATGTCTTTATGCCGCCACAGACTATTTTACAAATTGCATGCATGAAACAGCAGGCTGGGTGAATGAGTTAATACCCGGTTACCACATAAAAAAAATCTTTGTCCCTGGAAGGCAGAGATCTGCAAGACTCTATACGTCGCGATGATTGACAGCGCTGAGTTCTAGATAAAACATCAGGGGGTTGATGTAACATTCCCCCCTCAACTCCATTTTCTGTGATTCCTCCCCTGTCTCCTCCCCTCCATCAGCAGCGCTTCTGTTCTCCTCGCTTCCCTCTCTTCACCTCTTACGTCTCCTCTCTTCCTTCTGCTCTCCTAATTCTATCCTATTTACATCCCTCCTCCTGCAGAGAGCGGATCCCTGTGGTGTCGAGGCGTGTGTGTTTGTGTGTGTGTGTGTGTGTGTGTGTGTGTGTGCACATATATGTGTGTGGATGAAGAATATTGGATGTGGGTGTGTGTATATATATGATTACATGCTCATATTATAGGAAGAATAATTTGTGTTTGTAGATTTCAGCGAGTGTGTGAAGCATTTCGTTCTTGTATGTATCTTGGCGTGTATTTAGATGAAATTAGTGCATGTGTCTGTGTGCGTTTGAGAAAAAGGAGAAAACACACAAGTATTGTTACTCAGTTATTATATAGGCAGAGTGTCATTTCTTGATCATAATCATGTAATTTTAACCTCATCTAATACCAGGTGTTTATTACCAAGTTAACATGTTTTGAGTAAATACCAAGTTTCGTTTGTCCATCTAAAGCTAAGAGCAGAAATCAGCCGTACAGGTTGGTGCGGTCCAGCTTTAAAATGTCTTATCACTGCGAGAATGGGTCCCTCCTCTTTGCCTGATAAATGCCTCAACAGCTCCCTGCCTGTCACTATGACGAGGAAGCTGTGGGTACTGTGTGCACGTATGGATAAGCCACAAAAGATTTTGTTTTTGGCTAATGCTGGTTTATTATGTAAGATTTCAGTAGTTTGTAATGACCTGTAGTGCTGGCTCCACTAGAGGGGGCTGTTCTGTTAGTTTTTGGTCCCTTTGGTTGAAACAACAAAAAAAGAGATGGTTACTTGTGGTGGTGTTTTCTTAACAGTGATGAATCCTCTCAGATCACAGAGTTTGGCTGCACATACACCAGCAGCTGTTTTTTTTTTGTTGCATTTCCATAAACTGTATGAATAATGGACGTAGCTACCGTTGCATCATCCATTCATCTGTGAACTCCCATTTGAAGCCTTGAGTTTTGTACTTTGGCAGTTGTCGTCTTGCTTATTGGATTCAGAGTGACCATGTTTGGGCAAGAGGGTGAAGCTGTGGATGTGATTGAAGCTCTTGTTACACAGAGATCACGCTGTAGGGCCACTGAGTCCCTTCTTCACCAACCCACTCACTCTGGAGTCGTTAAATGCCGGCGTTTGGTCAGTGACTTCTGGTATCGGGCACAGACGAAAAAAGCTTTCAGCATGATTAGGCTTTCGTAAGATGTAAACGGGTGAGTCAAAAAAAATTCCCCCCAGTATGATTGTCATGAATGACAAATTTAAATTAGCTATAGAGCTTAGGCATTTTAACATGGGGGTCTATAGGGAATGACTTGCTCTTGGAGCCAGCCTCAAGTGAGACGAACTGCAGTTTTTGACACTTCCTGTCGGCTTCATTTTTCAGCTCCGGAGGTTGCCACTTGTGAGTGTTTTTACATGGACAGTTTAATTCCCTTTCCATTTGGAATGAAAGTTCATTCCTATTAAAAGTGATCTTGTAAACATCTAATTCATAATGAAAATGGCCAATGTGATTGAAAATTAGAATATTCCGTTTCTAATTCCGAATGAAAGAATTTCTCGCACTTGTATACACTCATCCCTCTTTAAGTTCATTCCGGTCTTTCTGTGCATGCTCGTTTCCTTACCCCTCTGGCGTAATGACGTATATAGCGCACCAATCGGTTTCCATTTGCCAAAGCACGGTCTTCTACCTCCCTTCTTCAACCCTCTACCTCCCTTCTCCTCCTCAACAGATGAAGCATTAGCAAAACAAGGTTGTTGTCGTACTGCTGCTTCAAGAATATAAGCAAAACAAGCCCGAAAAAGGCACTAAGAACAGTGGCGTCGAGCATCTTGTTATCCTGAACGCCCCCTATCCAATCAGAAACCTTCCCTGCCCCAAACCTTGCGCGGACCCGAATAAAGGCGATAGAGTGCCGAAGTCACGCCCCTTCCGGTGAAGCTCATGGGACCTTAGATCGGAAAAAATATGAATGGCAGTGAATGAGGAGAGAAATATTATTTTTTTGGTCCAGTTTCAGTTGTGACATGAAATCCAAATATGTCGTTAATGAATTTAAAACGTAAATTTTATGGTCAAGAAAGTCATACTTTGTGGTAAAACTGTTGAGATATAAGCTTTTGAAAAAAACGTAATTAGAAAAACTACACAGGAGGTGGTTGCTTATGTGACGTCATAGCTTT